GAAAATCACTGCAACATAACGAAGTTATGCAGAAACAGCTATTCATCAGTTGCATGGTGCATTAATAGCTGTGGCAGTGCTGAACCAAAACAAGGGGGTGGGCGACCAAATCATTAGCTGGTGCAACCAACAAAGAAATTTGGAAGTTAGTCTGGAGCCCTGCTACATGTATTTTGCTTTTAGATAAAGGCATGCACAATAGTTGTACATATAATAAATAACAATCAAATGCAGAGACAATTATTTACCAATATGTTAAGGAGTCGCTACATTTATACAGTCTTACAATTACAACTGGCCCTTTGAGGGTAAACATAATGCTTATGTGGCCCGGGATGAAAATGAGTTTGAAACCCCTGCCCTAGAAGATATTTGTACCGCGGCTTCATGGACCTCATCAGGAACATTCTCAAGGTTTTACAGGGTGAATGTTGCTACCCCCTATCCACTGGGTGTGGTTCTGTTGCCAGATTCCTCTGATTCTACTCACTAAGGTTTGTAAACTGGATTCCTCGTAATTTTGCTGGTCTAAGTCATTCAGTGCATAAAGCACCGCCTCTGGCAGATGAAATAGAACGAAAGTTACAAATGTAACTACGGTTCTATGAATCCCGAATGACCGCCAGAGCACTCTGTCACTCAGAATCCTTGTGTTCTCGCGAGAAGATCCTGTAGGAACAGATACTCTGACGACACTGAAAGATATATCCAGGTGTCACAGGTGACATTGCTGGTATTCACGTTCGAACTGCGCATGCGCAAAGGGGAATATTCAGTGCTTAAAGCACCGCCTCTCTCGGTCATTCGGGATTCATAGAACCGTAGCTACATTCGTAACTTTCGATTTGAATACATCTGGCAATGCAATGTCCATTTTTAAACCTAACCATAATTCCAACACTTTAATCATGTCATACTCACCTAAAAAAGATGAAGGCATTCTGAAAGAACACAGCCAATCCTGGTGCCACCTCTATCTCTAAGGAAAAGAAAATGCAGAGTGAAATGTGTTCATAAATTAGATCCTTCAATGCAGAAAGAGTGGGTGGACAGTGAAACATCCATCCATTATCTCTACACCTTAATCCTCACTAGGGTTGTGAGGGGGCTGGAGCCTATCCCAGCTGACTCAGGTTGAAGGCAGGTTCACCTGGACAGGTAACCAGTCTATCACAGGGCTACACTTAGAGACAGACAACCAAGCACACTCACATTCACACCTACGGACAATTTAGAATCACCAATTAACCTCAACATGTTTCTGGACTGTGGGAGGAAGCCAGAGAACCCGGAGAGAACCCTCGCTGCACAGGGAGAACATGGAGACTCCACGCAGAAAGATCCCAGGTGTCCTCACCAGGACATGAACCAGCGACCTTCTAGCTGCGAGGCGACGGTGCTAACCACCGACCCACCTTGCAGCACCTAGCAACGATTTTAAGAAATAATTGCCAAACGTTTACACATATTTCATTTTTATGGTAATGACATCACATCATCAGATAACACAAAATGACCACGGACAAGAAAATTTAGTAAAAAATGATTTAGTGATCAAATTTAGGAAAAAGCACATCTACACTACACGATGTAACAACAGCCCCTTTCAGACATGTTGCCCTTTCCGTTAATCTCACAGCAACCGCAATGTCGGCTTTGTGTGTAATGCACACCTTGGTCATGTTTTTGTTAAAGTTGATCAGCAATCTCCCGAGGTTGGATCTAGTAACATTTCCGTATCACTTTCAACACAGCAAATGTGATGAACAGATGTGCACAAGCAACAGTACTTTAAGTTGTGTAAAGTGATTTAGGGAAGGATTTTTTCCCACATTTTAACACCACTATTCATCAAAAATCACCACAGACAGAACTTCACACACAGTTTGTGTGTCTAAAGCACGACACACCTTTCTCACTGACTTTGCTCTAAAATTTCATTCAGCTACAAAATGAAGTGTCCATAATAATAAAACTGTGTTTTGTTTTGTTTTTTATATCAGACAGGTGAGCTGTCACACAGAGTCACAGTTTATCAGCTGCAGTTAAATGTTTTATTACATTACAGCCGTCTGCAGAAGTCCTGAGCTTTGAGTTTCATCAGAAAATGAGAAATAAATTGGGCTGTTAGTCATTTGGACCCTTTCATAAGCTGCTATTAGTTTAGAGTTTGTCTGTTATTGCATTTTTTATGTGTTATACATTAATTTGTCTCATGGTTGTCTCTCCCTTGGTATTAGCCCTGTGATGAGCTGGCAACATACCACACCTCTTGCCTCTTGTCAGCAGAAATATGCTCCAGCAACCGCCCACAGAATAAAGCAAGAACAGTTTTATATGGATTGATGGATGGACAATCGAGTGACAAAAAACATTGTTTAAGAAGGGCACATGGGCTGAAGCTGTGAGCTTTTAATCAGAGAATGGTTCTTACATATTACACATTTAGGATATACTGGATCAGAGGGGCCTTGTAGTTTGGCAAATGCTGGGACTGTTTGAATGGGAGGCAAGTATTGGTCAAAGGCACACAGAGACAGATGAACGTAAGACGAGTAGACTCACTTGGCACCACATAGCCACCGAACAGGATCCAGATGGAGGCGATGAGCGAACCAAACATCATCATGAAGCCGATAAAGAGCCAAAGACGAGCTCCTGCAATTAGAAGAGGAGGTAATCACTTTCATGAGCTTACTCGTCACTCTTCACACTCGACAGCTCAAAATGCCCACTGTATAAGCTTTTGGACAACAAGCTAACCAAATTGCAGCAGAGAAAGTACCTGTAGCACTCATTGCTGACAGTATTCAGAATGGAAGGCATGAAAGAAAAAACATGGCTAAGTTTTGTGTGCTTTAAACACTATAAAACAACCAAAACACAAATACATCATGCTAGTTGTCTAGCAGTAGTTTATGAGCAGGATTCCTCACTAAGTGGCTGACAAAACACCAATAGTTTCTCTGTTAAAAACAGTCATTTGAGGTAGGTTTGTGTGACATATTGACAAGGCTTGAAAGGAACTTAAATAGAACATGTTCCACTTATAGAATACATTGTACAGTGGGGCTTCTCAAAGTCCAAACTTCGGTGCACATCTGGAGCGAATAGTAAGTCAATTCAGACACAGACCTTTGTTTCATGAAAACAATAAGTTGTGAGGTCTAATGTTTCCTAGCTTAAAATAAATCTTTTATAGATCAAAAAATTGTTGGTGACATTAAACAAATAATGTAGCCGATGATCATCCACAGTTAACCTGTCTCCAAATTAATGTGGTTTCAATCTAACTCATTTCTTCAACGATAACTTTGTTGTCACAGTGACATCAGCTGCTGGAGGAAGTGTTGTGTGTGGCCCTGTTTATGCATTACACCAGAGATTATTTTTTTTTTATCCATCCTCAAACACAGATACAGAACGTGTCAAATTTTCTTCAGTAAACAAATTCATACAACTGTCTGAGCTGTGACTTCCTCAGTTTTGTGCTAGCCCAATCACAACAGATGTGATGTTTATGGAGTAAACACACATCACAGTTCAGGGCTTACACTCTATGTTGATGTACTCATATGTATGTTGTTAGTCTTCACCATCGGGATTTCCCATACAGGACTTTGTTTAAAGGGGTGCCATCTTAATAAAATATTACTTATTGTAATGCAACTGACCGCAGACAAACTGCCATTTTTACCTCTTGACTCAAATATATTTTGAGCATCTTGACTGTCTTAAACCTTTAATGTATGCTGCAAAAGTTATAGATTAATTAATTGAATGCTATTTTGTTATCACCAACTGTTTAGAACATCTGACATGTAATAAAAATCAAATAAGTTTGACAGCCTGTGTTATACAGTCTATAATTTGGCTCAAGTTAATTAAGCCAAATGGAGAATCACAGCTAATAATGTCACATAACAAGGACATAAGCCCCGTCTGTATGACCACAGCAATTTCACTTCCTTTGATAAAATGTTTTTGGTTTTTTTTTTGTGGTTTTTTTTGTCCATTTGTGTTTCCTGTAGTCTCAGTTTGGGTTTCAGTCTTTCCATCGTGTAAATTTCTATGATAACTTTGATCCATTGGTCCTTAGTTGGTGATTCTGTCTTCCCCCAGTTCTTTGAAATAGCTTTTTTGGCTTTCCACAAGTAGTACTTTGACCAGATATCTATCGTTTCCCATCACATTTTCTTCAGAGAAATTACAAGCACAGTACAACTCACAGGGATCTTGTAGCCTATTAATTATTGCAGGTTCTTCACACAACAGTTCCCAAGACACATTTCCAAAAGCCATGTGAGTGATCTACATCAAATTCTCCACACTCTCCAACATTTCTGATGTCAGTTTAACTGTTTACTGTTACCTTTCACTTTTGGTGTAATAAAGAAATGTAGCAGATTCTTCCAGGAGAATTCCTTCCAGATCCAAGAATTATTGGATGTGTGATAAATCATCCACATATTAAGCCAATCATTGTCTTTAATTTTCATGTTTAATTTGTTCTCCTACTGCTTTTTTGCATAATTAGTTGAGTGTTTGTCGTGTATTTAATCCCTGGTATACTGCTGAAATTATTCTCCTGTTACTTTCCTTATACTTTGGATCACTCATACTTTGTTCACTTCCCTGGAGGGATCCACCTGGATTTCTTTTGTGTAATAATCGCTTAATTTAACATATCTATTAAAAAAATCATGTTTTCTTTTACATTTTGAAAACTCTCCAGCTGTCCCAGTGTTTCTAAAACATATCATCGGGTCACTCCTTTTGCCGCCCACTGTTTAAATTCTTGGTCACATTGCACTGGTTTTAAATGGCTGTCATAAACTATCCATTTCAGACTTTCGGAATCATTGAGACATTTGTAGGTTTTTAATATTGTAAACCACAAATTTAGTGTATGACTTGTTATTGGGTCCACGTTTTATCAGAATTTCTTGTATAATTCCCTAACTCCTACCATATTTTGTATTGGCTGTTGTTTACTTCCTTTTCAGTGTCTTTCTATTTAGATCCATAATCTGGTTTGCACCAACAGAGAGGTCTCAGTTGAGCAGCACAGAAGTACCTCTTTAATTTTGGTAAGGCCATTCCACCTGTATCTTTGGACAGCTAAAGGGTTCCATATTTCATTCATGGTCTTTTCCCACCCCAAATGAACCTAAATAATTTTGTCCCATATTAAAAACTAACTTTAAGCAACTTTAACAGGTAGTGCCTAGAACAGCTACAGACATCTAGACATATTCATTTTGATCATCTGAGTTCTTGAGTTTAGGCCTCGTGGAAGGGTGGACCATCTTTCCATATCCTTTTGTATATCTTGGCTTGGCTTTTCATAATTTTCTTTGTCAAGTTTTGTGAGATCCTGAGTTACTGTCCCACCCAAATACTTAATAGATTTAGATTCCAATTAAGTTCATAGGCTTCACAAATTGTTTTGGATGGTATATAATTAATTGGGAGGATTTGAGTCTTTGAGATATTTATTCTATATCCTGACAGAGTGCCATATGGGTCAAGAAGTTTTATCAGTGCAGGAAGTGCTGTGTTTGGTTTTTCAAGGAAAGCTATTACGTCATTAGCAAATAGTCCAATTTTGTGCTCTCGCCCTTTTATTGTGACACCCTTTATTTCTGTATTTTGCCGAACTGCCTGAGCCAGGGGCTAGATAAAGATAGCAAAGAGGGCTGGTGCTAAGCAGCAGCCCTGTCTGGTGGATCTTTATAAAGAAAACTCCATTTCACACAGTCGAACAGTATCAGCATCTATGCTTACCAGGACAGTGCTTTGTTTTTCTTTCTGTGCTTGTTCTATTACATGAAGTGCTCTCCGGATGCTGTCCTTAGTTTTCTGGCTGTTGTGAAGCCTGTTTTCTTCTATGAGGTCTGGTAGAATGGTATTTAATCTTTTGGAGATAATAGATGTATATATTTTGCAGTCTGTCTAATATTGAGATTGGCCTAAAGTTCGCACATTCTCCTTTTTTTGGCCTGGTTTAGGAATAACTGAGATTACTGCGTCTGCCTCTGTTGGAGAGATTTTGTTGTCTTTGAGAATCCAACTAAAAGAAGTTTTAAAGTTGATTTAGAAACTCCTCCATTTCATTTTCACCTGCAGCTGGTGGCTGTGTCTATAATTTTTCATAGAATTTCTGGAACTCTTTCCCTATGTCCTCTGGATTATAGGTGATCTCATTGATGACTGGACCTCTCATTTTATATACTGTGTTTATTGTCTGTTTTTTTCCAATACGTCTTACAAGTAGTTTTGTTGATCTGGGACCCATTTCATAGCAACTTTTTAAAAAATGGTATTTGATTTCCATTTCACTTAATAGCAGATGATTTATTTTGCCTTCATATCCGGAATCTGTTGGTACGCGCTCTATTCCTTTGTGGTTTGATGTTGCTGCTCCAATTCCCTTAACCTTTCAGTGCATTTCTTGTATGTTGCTAATATTACTTTTTCTAATATTATGGTTTTTACATAAGCTTTCCCTGAACAACCACTTTCAGGCCAATGGTTGGGTCAACTTCATCATTACTATTTTCATCCATGTATTGTCTAATTTCCTTGTTCATTACTTCTACCAGTTTTTCCTTTTTTAGTATTCCCACATTAAGCCTCCAACACTGCTTGTCTCTTTCTGGTATTTAAGTGGATCTGTAGATAAACCAAATTATGATTTGATAAATCTCCACTTCTGATCTTGCATTCCTCAACTCTATATTTATCGGCCATATTCATAAAGAAGTAATCCTTCCCTGAGTAGACCCAATGAGTTTTAGAGTAATGAGTAAAATCCTTTTTAGAGGGCGTAGCACTTCTCCATATGTCTATCATTCCTACCTCTTCTGCGGAAAACTTTACAAATTTAGCCAACAGTCTTTAATTTTTTTCTAAAGCTTGTTATATCTAAGTTATGATTCATCACTATGTTGAAATCCCCTCCACAAATGAACATTTTTTTTCCATTTCTGTTAGTGTTATATTGAACAAGGACTTAAAGAAGTGTTTGTTTCTGTCTGGAGGAGCGCATATGATCACCAGAGGAATAGGTTCATTTTCTAACTTTCCCTTGACACCAGGGAGTCCTTCCAATGCTTGCTATCCCCACTCATTACTAGATTTAGATCCTTTGTACATCGAGTCAAGTAGTTTTAGTTGTTTTTTTGTTTTTTTTAAACTGACTTCGAGGAGCTCAGATGCTTCGCCATCTTGCCGGAAGTCCCAGTTCTCCATTTTTAATTTTCTCTCTGACCTTTTTTTCCCCCCCAACAATTGCTGTTTAACACACATGGAACAAGTAATTGATGCAGTGACAGTTTAGTCTGCTAATTAGTGCCTGATGGAAATTAAATGAAGTCACCGTTATTTGTAGGGGTACAGCACATTTAGAGCAACAAACTCTGACCCAAACTTCAATCCAGTGGAGAAATTTTAAAAGACTAAGATTAACAACCTCTTACCAAAATGCCAATTGAACCCTAACACTTGGACCATGTTCTTACATGCTGTCGTACAACATGCAACCTTCACGAAAACGATCTTCTCGGCCGTGAAAATATCCCAGCACCATCACAAGACAATGTGTCTGATCATCAAAAACGTTATAATGACTCCAGCATATTCCGATTGCGATAGATACACCGTTAGACAGTGCAAAAAACGATCGAAATTGGCGTTTTCCATGCTGAGGCGCCATATTGTTTTGGTGTTAGCTGCTCTCACAAGATTTCGTATAGGCTACATGCAAGGCCAGCTGACCTACACAGCGAGATTTCTCAAGACTGAATGACCTACCACTGTAGCCACATTATCACATTACGGTTTTAAACCACGTACACGGATATTTGAAGCATCATGACAAAATCAGTAAATTTTTTGTAAAACTGATATGTATACAAATAAAGAAACCAAGGACACAAACAGCAAACAAACAAATTTAACAGAATTTTACCAAGGAATGGTACAACAAAACAACAAAATTGTCATTGCGAGCTCAACTTGAAAGAACATGCCAGGGTTTCTGTAGCGTGGCACCATTTTACATTTACAACACTCTTAATACCACATAAATGCAACTTAAAACCATTTTTATCAGCGTATCAGCCAAAGCATAAAAGATGTCAATGAGAAGCAGCTGAAAAATGTGACACAAATGAGAGGTCTGAGACAAAGGTACTGGGGATTTTCTGCCAGAAGCTCGTAAAATCATCTACAAAAACAATGTTACCGCCTATGGCCTTGTTCTAAATGGTGTGTGTGTGTGTGTGTGTGTGTGTGTGTGTGTGTCTGTGTGTGTGTGTGTGTGTGTATGTGGTGGTAAATGAGCCCTGCTACATTTTCTCTCTCTACACTTTTGAAATATCGCTGAGTATTTTTTGTAGTTAATTGTTTCTAGATCAAAAGTAAAGTTCCTGCTGATTTTTCAGCAAACTAAAAAAAAAAAAAAAATGACACAGTGGGCACCCCTACAGCTCACCTAGTTGAGCGGGCGACCCATGAACACGGGCTATAGTTCCCTGGGGGCGCCTCTATAGCTCACATAGTTGAGTGGGCGACACATGAACAGGGGCTATAGTTCCCCAACGCAGCAATCGTGGGTTCGACTCCTGTTCACGACCCTTTGCGGCAGGTCTCTCCCCATTCCTCTCTCCCCTTTCCTGTCTCTCTCTACTGCTCTAAAATAAAGGCAAAAAGTCCCAAAAATATATTAAAAAAAAAAATAAACAACAAAAAATGACACAGTGAAAACATGAGTGGCTTAGTGAGGCTGTACATGAATTACTTCCTCATGGAGGCACAGTAACACTGACAAGATTATCATGTTGATGTTGATCGTCTACACTTATACTTTTAACCTTAGCAAGGTTCGACAAAGTTCTTTACAATGTGTTTCTCATTCATCCATTCACACTCACACACCAGTTGCGGCAAAACTGCCATGCAAGGTGCTTGCTTACCACTGGGAGCAACTTGGGGCTCAGTATCTTGCCCAAGAAAACTTCAGCACATGGAGTGAAGAGACCACCAAGAAGAATCAAACAACCAACTGTCCGACTAGTGGACAACCTACTTAACGACCTGAGCCACAGCCACCCACAATTCCTAGTTCAACTGGAGATGTTCAGTGGATAACACCACAATCAACATCTTAGTAACAAAGTGCTAAAGGCAAAATAAAACTGCAAGCAGCGTTTGTCGGGTCCTCAGTCTGCGTTGCAGCCTCATGCCCGTCTGACCATGCTTCAAGTTAAACCTGATGGAAGTTGAAGGAGCCATTTTTCTCTCTCATCTCAGCCTCAGACTGTCAGTGAGTCACATGAGTAGCTGCACTGAGCTGTGATGATGTCATGATGACTCATCGTTTTTCATGCCCCTGGCTGAGAGAGTTGAGAGTTTCCTTTCCCGAAGGGCAAGGACCCCTGCTTGCTTGTCCTCGGACCCTAAATATACCTGAGACTCACTGACACGGAATTATTTGAGCAGGCATTTGGAAATCAACCAATGTACTCCACAGACTGAAACTCTGACCTGATGATGGCAGTCAATAAAAACTTAAAGAAACACCAACGTTATTGAGATTCATCATCTGCAACAATGAATGGAATTTCATTTGGCAATTCATTTAATATTTGACTGGACCAAAGCGACAGACTACATCTTGTACAGCAGGAGCACAGCTATTTAGAAAGTAATAACAGAGAATCTTTTAAAAGTGTAACTCAATTTTGTTCTGTCTTTATATATATTATACTGCTTTAAGATCAGAGCCTTCAAGCTGCACATTAGATGTTTGCCAGGACATTTACATGCAAACCGCTGGTCGGTTCATTGTGCCAAAAAACAACCAAACAAAAAAAATACACAACATACAAAGCATAGTTGCATGCCCTTTGTAAAATGTGTATACTAAAAGTCTTGGATAAAATCCAAACATACACAAAGACACACCTGTCCTGCCAAGGCAGCCTTCTCCATACGTATCTCCTCTCACCTGGCCATTGGAGACTGCATTAATCCTGAAAAAAAAAAAAAACACAGTCAACAGTTCCATAAAGGAGGAAAATCCATTCTAAGCAATCATCGGTCCACATTACTATAAGTTACCTTGAGTGCTTTATGTTGTTGAGATATTTTCCATCTTCCTGTGTGTTTATTTAAAGCCCCCTTTTTGTTATGACAGTCCTAGGCTTAATTGTAGAGTTAGACTTTGCTTTCAGCTTGGTCTAGGGGTCTCTACTGTAGCTAATGCCACTATCAACTATTTTACCAATGAATCAAATAATGTAAATGAATTTTTGTCTGAAAGAGCAAGAAAATTAGTTTATTAAAAAAATTCAAATGATATTTTATTGTATAATGCAAGACAGTATGAAATGGAAACAATTGTTTACATTTGAGTAAACCTAAAGGGTAGAAATTAGAAGCCAGCCACAGCTTGAAAGTGACTGCTTGTTAACATATAATGTTATTGAGCCGCGTTTTAGTCATTATTTAACCCCTTTCAGACATGGTACATGGAACGTTGAGCCCTTAAAGTAACAGCATTCTAGTCATTCAGACATATGTCACTTTTCCATTAATGTTCCTCACAGCTTTATGTAGAGACACCCCCACAGTGCTGGACAGATCTACAATATGCACTCGACATTTGTTATTCACGCAAGTTTAGACCCCTCTCTAGTGATGTATAATGCATAATAATGCAATAACAGAACAAATCTAAACTAATAGCATCTGATCAAAGTATCCAAACAGCTAACAGCCCACTTCAGAGAGTTGGACAGTATTCATTGTTGTTGAATATCATGAGTCTAAGCTATTAGCATCGGTTTTCAATCGCAGTGAAGTTTTTGTGGAGCAAAGTGAGTGACAAAGCTTTTGGTCACAAAACTTTTTTTTTTGCCATCTGTGGGGTTTTGGACAAATATTGGTGCTTAAATATGAAAAAAGTATTCTGTAAATCACTTTACTGGATTCTAAGCACTGTTGCTTGTGTGTTGTTACTATCTATTATAGTGGCATTACTGTTCAGACTTTTGCTGTGTTGAAAGTGATACCAAAAACTTATTAGGTCCAAGCTAGTAAGATTGCCAGCACATCTTTGACACAATTGTGAGCAGGATGTACATTCGGACATGAAGCTGACACGTTCAGTGGCTGTCAGAGAAGAAATACTACTCCTGTCTCCACAAGACCAACATTTATAGGTTCGATACTATATAAAAGTGTACACGTAAATCAACACTTCTAAAGCACTACCATGAGCAAAATCAAGGCAACGGCCACAGAGAACCGATGGAGTATATTATGTAAGATACATGGTTTTTAGTTCTAACTCTTTTCGATGTTTATTTGTTCTTTTCCAATGCTCTGTAATTCTGTTATATCAATTTAAGGTTGGGGAAGAATAACAAATATTTAAAAACTGCTGTACTTTCATCTGTACGGAACAAAGAAATTTAACATAACACAATGGAAAAAAGAGAAGCTGATGTACAGCAACCTAAACAAAATCTTCTCTGTGTCTGTGCACTGCAACTACTTACAGTTGTGAACAAAATTTTATGTACACTTGTAAAGACCATCTATATAATCAATCTTAAGTTTCCAGTGACTCCTGTAACTTTGTATTTTTAATAATAGAATCTTTTAAACACATGCGTCACAAAAAAAAAAAAAAAGAGGAGCTTCTGGAAATAGGAGGAGATACTGGTTTAACATCTTTTGGCCATTTCCACCTCAGCTAGGTGCTTTTTTGTCACCATCTACAAGCTTCTGACAAGCCTATTGTTGTATCTTTGACCACTTTTGACAGAATTGGTACAGTTAAACTAAACTTGTTGGCTGTCTTGACACAGACTTGTTTCTTTAACACAGTCCCCAGGTTGTTCATGGGTTTTAAGTCTGGACTTTGGGGAGACCAACTGAAAACACTATATCCAGCCTGATTTAGCCAACACTTTCGATGTGTATTTGGGGTCATTGTCTTGTTGAAACACCCAACTGTGTCCAAGACCAACCTTTTGACTCAGGATTCTAGGTTTTCCTGAAGAATGTGGAGGTAATCCTCCTTCTTCATTATTCCATTTACTTTGTGTAAAGCTCCAGTTCCACTGGCAGGACAGCCCCAGAGCATAATACTACCACCACCATGCTTGATGGTAGGTGTGATGTTCTTTGGTTAAGGGCCTTACCTTCTCTCCACCAAACATATTTCTGATCATTGTGGCCAAATAGCCCAATTTCTGTTTTATCTGACTACAGAACTTTCCACCAGAAGTCCTTTTTTTTGTCTATCTGATGAGCAGCAAACTTTAGTCAACCCTTAAGATGCTGTTTCTAGAGGAAGGGCTTCTTTCTTGCATGGCAGCCTCTCAGCCCATGGTGATGTAAAACACTGTGGATTTAATACTGGTGTTCTAGCATCCTCCAATTCATTGCAGAAATAAAATTTTGTTTACAACTATATAGCCCCTTTCAGATATGCACTCTGCTGCGTTAATTTGACGGCTATGAAACGGGTCAGGCGGCACGTCCACACCATGGTCACTTATCCATGAAAGCTGCGCTGGCACTTTTGCTAGGTCAGACCTTGTAACGTTTCTGTATAACTTTCAACACAGCACAAGTGTGAACTGAGCATACACATTAACGGATAGACACACACAAGCAGCAGTACTTTGAGAAGTTATTTAGAGTAAGATTTTTTCACATTTCAGCACCAATATTTGTCTAAAAATGTTAATGCACAGCTTGTGTGCCAAAATCACAACACACTTTTTTCGTACACTTTGCTCTACAATTTCAAATTTATTAGGCAACAAAATTAAATGTCCATAATAATAAAATCTTACTGCGATGAGAACAGACACTAATACCTTAAAGAACAATGAGATTTACTAATAACGAAACTGATCTGAGTTTGTTTAATACCTGCAGCATCAGACAGTAGCACGATCCATGTGAAAGTCTCCAAAGAAAGAGAGTTGTGGATATTTGCACACCAAAAACACAACAGCACCAGCAACTTATTAGATTCTTTCATTTTAAATTATCGCTCAGAGGATCAGTCCAGACCAGGGCCCTCATTTATCATCAGTACATACGCACAGATGTGTGCGTAGAGCGTGCGTACGAAAATTCCTACGCAAAGTATGGAATTTATCAACTTGTACTTATACTTAGGAATGTGCATAAATATACACACAACTCTGACCATGGTCACGCACATAATCTAGCGGTAGAAAAGTGAAACTACAAATAGAAAACATTCAGGGATTTTGACCACCGACACATTCCAGCGTGAGGTTGGAAACATATGCGGCATTTCCAGCCACCACTGAGCAGGATCATGCCAGCAGTGTTGGATGCCATAACTCCCCTGGCCCCTGCCTACATCCAGCTCCCTTACAGCCATCACCAACAAGCCCAAATCAAACGGGGACTTCACGCCATCGCTGGACTCCCAGACATAAGTGGAGCCACAGACTGCACTCACATCGCATTCAAAGCAGCATCACTAAATAAATTTAATTATGTTAATAGAAAAGGGTTTCATTCAATCAACGTACAAATAATTTGCGATGCACATTTGTGGCTATCCAACGTTGTTGCCTGGTGACCTGGAGGAACACACCACTCATTTATTGAGTGGTGTGTTTATTATAGGAGCTGTTGAAGATGGCTGGCTTATTGGTGAGTGTTACAGAGTGTGGAAATGTTTTTGCTGACTTAGTTTGGTTATTAAAATATCTCATCTGTAGTGATCAGGGTTATACACTGGGTGAACTTTGGGTATTCATTTGTCCTCCTCCAGTTGCACTCATTCCTCTTTTATGGGCTGTGATGCGTTTTTTAGCACCGAGCTTAACCATTTCAACACTAAGTAACTTTGGTTTGAAACATATGGGGGCTTTATTGTAGCAAGACTATTTGTCTGTGGAGAGTTGTCTGTCTGTATCTCAATCCGTTCGTCCGAAGTGAGATTTGTCAATGTGTAAAAGAAGTTGTCAATGCGAACCGGAATCTACAAAAGTCGTCTCACAATTTGTCTGTCTGTAAGAAGCTTTTCAAATGCGTAAAAAAATCTGCTCATCTGTGTTGAAATTCGGACATGTAATAAGAGTTGTCAATGCGTACAGAGGTATTGGAGTTGAGCAGCTTCCCCATTGGCTGTCTTTTCCCACATGACTTGTGCTCCACTTCTACTGTGAGAGAATCTGAAAATCAGGGTTTCTGTGTCCTGAGCTCAAGAATGTATGAATGTAACAGAAAGTCGCCATATACCGGAGCTGCTATACCGGTCTATAGTGTAGAGCTGTCAAAAATACCAATACCTCGATACTAAATCGATACTAAAGCTGGTATCGAGCAGCGATATTAACTTCCCGTGATAACGATACTTTTCTGTATCTCGCGGCCTCCTTCAGTTGACGCCGACACGCGTGTGTCCTCCAGAGCCCAGGGTTTATGGCAGCCTGACGGGAATCAGTAAAAGAAGAAGCCGCAGCTGGGAAGGAAACAGTCCGACCAGTGGGGTTGGTCCATAACGCTCCGCCAGGAGTGGAAGTGGGTGGGACGCACAGGCAGTACCTGGCTGCTAATGCCACTTTAGGATAGCGGTCACAGTTCTGTTTCTACCATTGGCGGCGGCAAATATTCAGATATCAAAATTGCTATCTGGATACCACAACCAACGAGTCGGGAGAGGAGACACATTGTGACCGGCCTGTATCAAGCAGAGCTTCAAGGCAACAGCAAGTAACACGACATCTGGAAAACAGATACCCCAATCTCTACATTCTTAACCTCCGTGCATGAGAACAAGTGGGATTTACCAACACTGATAACTTACTGATGTGTGTATGACCCACGTACACATGTTCGATAAAGACAGATTTTTTTTTGTACTTACACAAACTCTAAATTTAGAACCTTTTCTACACGCTGATGATAAATGAGGCCCCAGGATCGGGCAGCAGGTCAGACTGTGTCAGCTTACGTGTCTTCACATAAGACAGGTGAGCTGTCACAAACAGAATGGCAGTTTAGTTTCCAGCTGTTGAGGACTGTTTCCTCAGAATTTACTACAAACTGGCAGCATCAGACTTTGGTAGGACCCACAAGTGTCTCCAAAGAGAGAGAGAGAGCTGTGCGCATTTCAGCACAGAGCAACAGAAGCAACATCATTAATTAGGTTTACCTATAAATTATCCTGACATGGAGAAAGAACCAATTGGGATCTAACAGTAGCTGTGAACTTTTTTTCACCTCAGACAGACGAGCTGCCGCACAGTGTCACAATTTATCAACTGCAGTTTAATATTTTGTCACATCGCAGCAGTCCAAGACACTTTGATCAGCTCCTATTAGTTCTGTTTTATTCTGTTATTGCATTAGTATGTTTTATACATCACTTGGTGTATTGACCAGTCTCTCGTGAATGACAAATATTGTGTGTGTACTGCACAATCTCCGGCAATGTGGGTGGAAAGGGTCTTCTTTTCACCTTCCAATGACAAGCTTTACCTGGGAGTATCAGGCACTCCCTCTAAAGTTCCACATTTCATTGCACATGTACCAGATTAGCTAGCAGGATGGCCCAAGTGGCAGCGAGGACAGGATCGGCATACTTCTCACCAACACTGCTAGTGCATTTTGTTGAAGGCCCCGCTTCCAGGAATTGAGAACTGTTCACTTAGTTTTCTCGGTGTGACTATTTCTACAGACACAAAGTTCTACAAGCTGACATGGAGTGTCCAACACTTACATGAAGAATGCTATGGTGGAGAAGACGCCACATGTGTGGAAGGCATGGTTCATCTGCTGGGATGGATACGTTACTGCTGCATCAATCATGATCCACCAGCCTGAAAAAAACTGGAAGCAGAGGATACAGAGTTGATGTTTAAATAGATGAGATACAGTTCCATCAGCTGACTCTCCTGAGCAGGATCTGTTAGACATGCACTTGGCTGAAGTGCATGGCGGATGTTTAGATCGTATCAGACTGCCACCTTTCTGGCATTGCCTGGGTTGTAACTGAATGTTAATATTTGAGTTTTTTTGTATATTTAACTTGTATCCTGAATATGTACCAAATAAATGCAGAAGATTTAAAAAAGGAGGAAGGTAGACATCTGGACTTTGGATAAATAATAAAACATCGTTGGTGTACAACGTTATTTTATGTTCCCTATTATTACCAGAACAGATCTTGAGACAGTGTAATCCTGAGATTTAGGGATGAGTGACCAGTGTGCCCGCTGAATTTGTAAGTCCACGTTTCTGTCGAGCCCCAGCTCTGTCTTCAGAAAGTTATCAATGAACATTAGTACTGAGCTTCCTTGTGTGCCTTCCTTAATGCCATATATGCAAATGTTATTATGGCGTGATCTTCCTTCGAGGTCCGTAACCTTGGCCTGGAGGAGTCTTTGTTGTTTGACGGAGGGAAGCAGGGCGTCCCTTAGCTCAGTATTAAGGGACTCCATTTCCTCTACTCACTGCTCTGCTTCAGTTAGCCGCACACCATGGTTACAAACATTGTGTAGCTTTTGGTTTATCTCAGTCTTGAAACCACTGAATTGTTGTTTAATGTAATCTCTGAAGTCGTTTTTGAAGTCAGTAATTCCCACTTGAGTTTCGTTTTCAGGCTTTGTGTTGTCTCTGCCTAGGTTTTGAATGGCTTTAGCGGTGGTAATGTCCCCCTCCTCTGCCTCACACTCCATGTTCCATGTTGAACACCACGACCTAGAGCAGTACACCACAGCTGTCCAAGGATACATCAGGTTGTGCACAGACCTCGTCACCATGGACAAGCACATCCGGGTTTATCCGAACACCAAGCCTTGGATGACCAAAGAGGTACGGAACCTGCTTCGAGAAAGAAACACCGTCTTCAAGTCTGGTGATGGGGCATTGTATAGCGCTGTCAGAGCCAACCTGAAGAAAAGCATCAAAGAGACCAAGGCTGGGGTGCCACCTGGTTCGCTCACCTGGTTGAGCTGGCGACCCATGTACAGGGGCTACAATCCCCGATGCAGCAGCCATTGGTTCGAATCCGACTCATGGCCCTTTGCTGCAACCCCTTCCCCCATTCTCCTCTCCCACTTTCCTGTCTCTTTCTCAACTGTTCTATCTAATAAAGGCAAAAAGGCCAAAAAAAAACCTTTAAAAAAAAAAAAAGAGACCAAGGCTGCGTACAGGAGGATCGAGGACTGCTTCCAGAGCAACAATTCCAGGCAGGTGTGGCAGGGAATCCAGCACATCACCAACTATAGACCCAGCAGCCTGTCAACGGACCACAGGATCGCCTCACCAGCAGAGGAGCTCAACAACTTCTTCGCTCGCTTTGAAGTGCAACCACCAGAGTCGGATGTCCTACACCCACCAGCCCACAGCAGCCATGTCCTGACACTGGAGGAGCAGCAGGTGAGGTGGATGCTGAAGGCAGTGAACCCAAGGAAGGCCGTGGGTCCTGATGGCATCTCAGGACAGGTGTTGAGGGACTGTGCAGATCAGCTGGCTGGGGTCTTCACCACCATCTTCAACCAGTCCCTAAGTCAGGCTGCTGTCCCTCCCTGCCTGAAGTCCTCCACCATTGTCCCCCTCCCTAAGAAGAATACCATTAGTGGACTGAACGACTATCGTGCGGTGGCACTCATACCCATAGCCATGGAGTGCTTCAAAAAAACTGGTCTGGGCCCACATCAGTTCCTGTCTTCCCCCTGGGTTTGACCGTCACTCGTTTGCCTATCGACCTAACAGGTCCACGGAGGATGCTGTGGCTACAGCTCTCCATGCTGCTCTGTCCAACCTGGAGCAGCAGGGAGCTACGCCCGGCTGCTCTTTGTGGACTTTAGCTCTGCATTTAATACCATCCTATCTAGAAGATTGGTAACTAAACTGTCAGACCTGGGAGTGTCCCACTCGATCTCCCTCTGGATTTTGGATTTCCTGATGGACCGCTCCCAGAAGGTGAAAACAGGCCCCCACCTCTCCTCGGTCATCAGCCTCAGCACTGGCTCCTCCCAGGGCAGCGCCGAGCCCACTGCTATTCACTCTCTACACTCATGACTGTGCTCCCCTCCACCGCAATAACAGCATCATAAAATTTGCAGATGACACCACTGTGGTGGGGCTCATCTCTGGGGGGGATGGGACTGCATACCGGGACAAGGTGGAGCAATTGTCAGTGTGGTGTCAACAAAACAACTTGATCCTCAACACAGCCAAAACAAAGGAGATTATTGTGGACTACAGAAAGAAGAAGACGGACATGCAGCCACTGCTCATTTGTGGGGACTCTGTGGAAAGGGTTTCTGACGTTCGCTTTTTGGGTGTGCACATTAAAGACGACCTGACCTGGAGCACAAACACAGCAACCACTGTGAAGAAGGCCCAGCAGAGACTGCACTTCCTGAGGGTCCTCAGGAGCAACAACCTGCAGCAGAGGCTGCTAGTGGCCTTCTATCGCTGCTCCATAGAGAGTATCCTCAGTTACTGCATGTGTGTTTGGTTTACCAGCTGCACAACAGCAGACAAGAAGGCTCTCCAAAGGGTTGTCAATATGGCCCAGAAAATCACTGGCTGTCCTCTGCCTTCCCTTGAACTGTACAGCTCTCCTCAGAAAGTTTGACTTTTTTCAGCACATGGCCAGTTGGAAAATTATGGCAAAAATTATGACAAATCTGCCCAGCCTTCTACAGGACACATGCCCTGAGGCTCAGAACCGTTTTTGGCATGAGGAGGACCTATGCAATGTTAGGTAGGTGATTGTCTGAGGTGATTCATGTAATGTGATTTAGATGTAAAATAGATGATGCTCTGACAATTTCATACAAAATAAATGAATACACCCATAGATAAATAATCAGCCATTTTATGATGAAATGTATCACCAACAACACCTATGTTAATATAATTTAGTTAACTCCATGTGTGGGTTGCTTGCATGTATAACATACTTGGGGCAGAGCTGAACTACAAGCTAGGCAGTGAAAAACTGTGCCTTTCCCTGCCTGCATGTGATGCACTGTAAGATGTTATTGAATATGAGAACCAGTTCTCAATTAACTTACCTGGTAAAATAAAGGTAAAATAAATTTTTTTTAAATTGTTTTGACAAACTGACCATGTTTCCGCACTTGCACACTCAAGGCTTGTTGAGCTTAGAGCAACAACCATTGTCAGCATTGATGCTAGCAAAGTGTAACCACACTATTAAACATTTCTCTCTGCCACTAAAAGTATGGTTGATGTGTGTGTGTGTGTGTGTGTGTGTGTGTGTGTGTGTGTGTGTGTGTGTGTGCTGCAGCATGTGAGACAGAGAGCTGCCCCTGTCACTAACACAGACGCACTCCTGCATTGGGAATAGCAAAAATGCATCACAGATGAATGTCTTCATCTTACTGTAAATTAGAAACAGGGTTGGTGGAATAAAATGTACAAGACAACATTTAGGTAGCAAAAATAAATGGAAAATCATTTTCCTAACTTCTTCTGTAATGAGAACAATACAACAATCAATAAGAATTTAGTCCCAAGGTTCATTTAGTACCTGGTTTTGTCAGTCATTTCAACTTGAAAACAATCAGACTTTTGTACATTATTCTACCTTGTGGGATCCTGACCTATCCAACAATGGTTCAGACAGAATACAAATCCTGCTTAAGAATGCTAAGAGGACCACTGGGGTCTCAGTTTGACCCCTTTTATTTCAAGAAAATTACATATATTGCTGCTCCCAGGTGTTGACGCGTCTATACACTGACACACTTACATAAGTACTCCTGGTGCCATGTAGTTTTTCATAACTGTCTTTGAGAAATATTTACTTTCTTCTGTTTTTTTGAGTTAGATGACAAATAAACTTGAGGATTGCGTATCAATAAGGCTCTCCCTGGACCCCATGTGTTTGTCCTTTATATACACAAACAAATATTTCTGTTCACTCCACTCTTTTTTTTCAGTCCACTCTGTAGAGTACTAACCAGGACTCCAGACACAATTGAAGCCACCGCGTTCCTCCTCTCCCCCCAGTCGATGCATTCACACTCTGGCCAGCGGAAGTTATCCAGAAAGCCAGCCATCTGCACCCTTGTTTTGACAAGTGAACTGGTTTGTCCAGGAGATCAGGGTCTCTGTCTGCAGAAGATACATACAGAGAACATGTGTTCACAACATCTTCCATAGATGACCACTAATCTGACGTGTAATAGTTACATTTCTCATTCATGGAAACGCTTTCAGTCAACAAGCTTTTTGGGAAGTTTTTCAAAATAAGAAATAGGCAATTTATACAAGACTGACTGGACAATTTAGTAACTGTGTTGTCAGTTTGCTTTTCGCATACATACATTACTAGTTGTTTCCTAGGAAATGAGAGCAGAGGAACCTGCTTTAAAAGCCTCAATTCTGTGTCGTTTACTGATATCACAAGATCACCAAATTAAAGAACAAATTCAGTTCAACCAATACTAGATCCATTTTTTTACTCAGTGAATAAACATTATGCAACATTACCTGAAGACCAGGCTCACAGAACTGAGTTTTATGTTGTTATTAATCCAACAGTGAACGGAGGTACACCAGGATCTAGTCTTCACCTGATTTGCGCTATTTCTAACGTGAACCTAAACCGTGTGAATGCTATAGTCCATCCATAGCAGCGCTCCTCAGTGAAAACCACCGGCAGTCTAAACTTTAGCATGTACCACTGGTGGCTCCATACCCTGACCTGTGTCAAAGTTAACCTTATTTTATGCTAAGCATATAGCTGTTGCTAAAATAACGTTGCTTATCCAGCTAAAATTGTAGCTCTTTTTTAAACAATGACAAACCAGGCAGCGTTTAGCAAATATCAACCACGAACAAACTGAGGATTTAGGACTTAATGGACCGATTCTGACCGCCGTGTAATATTTGCATGCCATGTTAAGTACAATCTCCCACCTTTTTAAGAGCCGTAATTGCTTTCAGTTTCCATTGAAAATCGAACGTTGACTCTTCTTCGTCGCCGTCGTCTTCCTCTTCTTCTTCTTCATGTTTTCTGACACCGACTCACTACCGCCACAGCCTCAAGCGGCCGCTCTCTGTAACAGCAGAGGGAGCAACATTGCCCAACTACAGGTATGTATAATAAAGGCCTTTATTGTACATATCTATGGGCACAACGGTCTTGGCATCACAATAATGCGTTTTCCCAACTATTAACGGAACCAGAAAAAAACAAGAAAATGTCTCTTTTTTCTTTTACCTTTTTG